AATAATACATATGACATCGCCTTGCGGACGCCCGTCCTGAGCCTTCGCGCAATCTGCGACAGAGGACCTAGGCAGCCAGCACGCCCGATCTCGCCACTTTTGAACCGCTTTCCGTCACCCACACGCACCTCGGCCATGTCGTTGTCTTGTACACGACCCGACCATTCGATACTCGGACTGCTTCTATCGCGGACTGAGCCAGTCGCTCCAGGTCGTACGCCCCGGGCAGGCGGCCCCAGTGCCCGCTGTTAAAGACGAGGACGTCGGGGTTGAGGAGCGGTACGACATCGGTGAAAAGCCCGTACACGTCGTGCACCCAATGCGGCTCTTGGTCACAGGCCCCTGGCTCGCAGCCTCTTTGCCGAGATGGGATCGAAGAAGCCTCTTTTTCTTCAAGAAGATGCAGCGTGGAAGTCAGGGGCATGGCCGAAGCATCAGACCGCACCGACGTCTTCTCTTGGAAATGCCGCCCTTCCCGATACAAGTTCCTCCATTCATCCACGTCGGGTGTCTGGCCATAACGTTTCGGAGCCCGATCTAGCCGAGGCGGAGGCACGGAGACGTTCAGCCAGGTAAGGTTGTGACCCTGATGCCCACATGCGGGGTTGAACCATAGAAAGAAAGTGACCCAGACATCCAGTACTTCGTTGTGATAGTATCGATTTTCGATGTTGCCTCGGCGTTCCGCAGGTTCCTCACGGTAACAATCACAGGTCTCCCTTCCATTAAAGCGTGCGTTGGTGCCCTGTGATAGAGTGAGCCACAGACATTCTGGCTTGAAAAACAACGCGCTGTTTTCACGTCTTCCCGTCGCATCGCATGGGATGTGCAAGTCCTTTCAACACATAGCCCGCCGAGGTTACCTGGTAGAATCGCTGGTACCCCTTCCACTGACACTCGTTCTCCAGCTGCGGGTCCGGTCCACCCCATACGCCATTTTCCAAGAAGTTGACAAGGTTTAGGTATTGATATCTGACAAAATGTTTTGTCAAAAGGAATTAAGTACATCGTACCCAGTACCCCAACCGGCGGGAAAGGGATGGCAATTACAATTTCGAGCACGATGGAACCTCACCTGGTCAGACTGTCCCCCACCATAACAATGCTCTTGTTACGCAAGCAGGAAAGCGCTGCTGTCCGATCTTCAAATGATTGCATGTCATACCCGTCAACGACCAGTGTGCAAGCGGCTACACCTGCTCCAGGGCCCGTTACGTTTCTCGCCCCATTCGCTTCTGTAGTGGCTGCAATTTCAAGTTGATTGTCGACTTTCCACGAAAAGTGGAGCTCCTCCGACTTGAATGACTCCCGATCAGTCAAGAGGATTGAAGCCACTGGAACCATAGGCGCTCTTATGTCGGAAAGAGTAGTTGTGTACCACGAGCGGGACCCTCGAATGTTGTCGATGTTACTCAACGCAGCAAGAATGAAACCAGCAAAAAGCACGACACAGCAGTTGACAGATCGAAACAATGTTATGCTCCAGGTCGAGCGCATGACTAGTGGATCCTCTTGACTGGCGCACATTATACTTTCCCTGCTTCTTTTCATGGCACTGTTGCCCTGTGGGATGAAGAAACGGTCAAATAACTTCTTTAGGTGACGACGGCGCTTATGACACACAAGCATTGCTTCGGATGGCTTCAACCATGCAACTTCACATACAACACAATGTTGATGAGGACTTGGCAGGATGTGGATCGTACTGACAATACCTTTACTATGTATGAAAAACCTCAGCACAAAAAACCCGAGAACCGTTACCTGCGCCGAGTTAAGTCACCTTGTTTCATCGCCTGCCTCCACGAACGAGCCAAAAAATCGAAGCGGGCTAAGCACACGATACACAAAACTGAAAATAATTCGATGTCTCCAAAGTGATTTTGGCAGTGAAAGAGAAGTGGTGCTCGGAAATGCTCCTTTTGACCTTCGTCTTAATTCTTTGACCTCCCACAAAGATGTGGCTTCGGCAGAGACAGGCGCCGTTAAAGCGCTAGCTGCCGTTCGCCATTGCCGTTAAAAAGCCTTCGCCGTCTTCCTACTTTTATTGAAAATAACAACCAGATTTTTCTATATTTAACGTTCCGCCGTCGTGCTGAGGTATTAACTTAGCCTTTTGCGACTCGTCCCTTTGGCATCTCAACTACTGCGACTAGAATGTATACAGCCAACAAATTCAAGATATGGACATCGCTGCTGAAGGCTTGCGGTAGGTGGTTGATAGAAGCATTGGAATGAAGGAGCAAGGAGAAGTAACGTTTCCTTTGGATTTCCTGCATCACAATTCTACAACTTTGAACCATCCTTTTTTGGATAAATAAAATTCTAGACGGTCAAAGCAGGGTTTGTTTATATCTGTAGCATTTTCTGTGGCGACATTGGTGGCATTTGCATTGATAGCCGCCTTCCAAGAGAGTCAAGGACGACACACCAACTTTCGAAATGACCGCTCTTCTCATGATGGGCAAGGCGCGTGCTACGACCCATACATTATACCGTTATGGCCACATAATGGCACAAAAGTTCAAAACCCTCAAACGCGCTTCCTCACAGCGTACGTTCCTCAAGGTAGGCATGCAAGCATTCTGTTTTGAAAGTACCGCGTTATTAATAGGTTGCCTTTCTTCGACCGCCAGCAAACCAGTCTTGTGGGGCATCAGCCGTGATTGCTCCGGGTGGAGCATATTGGGACACAGCGAGAGACGTTGAGGGGACACCATATGCCAAGTGGCTATGTGCGCAAGGCGTGGCATCTTATGTTCTACAGTACGGGTGTGCCAGCTCGGGGTACGTCAAAAAACTCAGCATTTTATAACTCCTAAATCTGCTTCTTAACATTATTGTCTCCTTCGATATGCATCTAGTTTTCACGCCCCAGTGCCCGAAGACGACGCTCGTCGCGCCCTGCGTGTCGTCCGAAGTCAGCTGCCAGTTTCCGCTCGTGATACCCACAAGGTAATCACCTCGTGTCCCCATGCTTTCGAGAGCGGAAGGCGTTTTTCCTGATCCCCCGCTTTGCCAACAATAGATCGGAGTGATAGGCAGTTCTGCCGGCGGACACTTGATGGCAACACTGATGGCGTATAACGACGAAGGGAACGCGCACGCAACAAATACTATTGAGCAACAGAGGTAGGACCCATGGGGCGATCTTAAAAGTTATCCAGCGCTCAACAACGAATCCCCCCCACAGAAGTCGCCCTGATTTTGGTGTCCTTGTATATCCCGTCATTTCCATGGAGGACGGCCTGACTCACGACCCCTCAAAGACCAACCTTTTCGGGCACAACCTGACCTCGCAAAAACGCCAAAGATTTGTGGAGTATTTTTCTATCGAGAAGCACGTGAATCATCTGTTCCCGCCAGTATTCATGTTCCACACCAAAGACGACGCGGTTGTCAGCGTGGAAAATACCTATCGAATGGTCGATGCACTTGAGAAGGCAAAGGTATCTAAAGAGCAAAAGGGAGGGCTGTGATATGTAAGTATTTCATTTATTTTTTCTTTTCCTGGCGCCTTATCGATTTCAATGCAGGTTGAGCATAAAGCGATGATCTCTGAACACGGCCGGCACGGTCAAGGCTTGGGTGACGGAAGTTTGGTGACCTATGATGGTAAACTGATCAATAATCATCCATGGACACAAAAGTGTATGGAGTATTTGATCGACTTGGGAATGATAGGAAGGACAAACAAAGTGAGGGAAACATGAAATACTGACTGAATCTTTTCCAACACGCACTGATGTAAGAGGCGAGTAAACTATGTCGCTGAGTGCAACTTTTTCATGCAAATAAAATGCTAAGTGCGCCAGTCCTGCGGAGAGCAGGGGAAAGACAAGCTAAGAAGCTAAACACGCCTCTGTCAATCAGACCTGACCCACAAAATGTATCATTTTGATAAAATGGGCAATGTTTGGCTCTCACACGCGTGTCTTACGTTTTCTGATATCGGTTTGAACAGGTAAGTGGGGTTTTGAGGGGTTGTATGACAAATAAAGGAGCTTTTAGGGAGGAATGGAACAATGAAGGGGAGGAGGTTGCCGAACTTAAAGCGAACGGCCGGGTCAGACCAAGAGCCACAAAATAAGCGGCCCTGGCCGGCGATTCTAATTGGTTACACAAGTAAGAATGTTCAGTTCGGTGAATAAGAAGTAAAATCAATCGAAAAATCTACCCGGAATTTATTTTGATGCGGATGGTGCGCAACTTTTAGCTGCCCGATTATCAACCCGATCAGTACAAGAGGCGAGGGCAGTGCTAATTGAGATATCTCTCTTAAGATCCAGTTCGTTTTTATCATTCATGCATGACACGGGTCTGTATCACCCTCGGACACCTGGCCATTTGCGTAGCCATTACTGGTCCTGGGTCGAGACAGCCAACGAGGGGTCACATGTTATTTATTGCCGAGCGACATCCATAAATTCTTGCGAATACATACATTTCATACATGTGATAGCGTGACGGTGACTCCATGCCGCCGCCGCGGGGTTTCCTATCCTTCGTGGCGGTCGCGTTGGTCCTGATTATGTCGCCCATGTTATTTATGAGGAATCCTGCTGAAACGTATATGAACCTTTTGGGAACGCGAGGCTTACGGCGGGAGGCGAAGATGTCAATACCTTGGGTGATTGAAGGTAGGTCGAGACTCTATGGGCTGGTAAGACGTGCATCCATCGCAAGAGCTTTTACATGCGACCCCAATTTCCCAGGAGAACCAAGGGAGCCAGCGCATGTGCGGGTGGTGATACGGACTCACGCACGGGAACAACTCCAGTTGCGATCTTTAATTTACGGGTTGCGCGCGCAAAGCGAGGGACAAGCCGGTTTTAAGGCAGATTTTGTGCTGGTCCCAACGGAATCAGCTTCGTTGCAAACGTATCAACGACTGTGTAACGGTGCGAGCTACTAGTGTTTGTATGCACCCTTTGACTACCACTGAGCGTTTCATGTTAAGTCTCAGCCTTATGATTTTGGGTGTTTTAATCCGCAAATGCACATCTTTCCCCTGGCAATGTCGGCTCATGGATAGACTTTTTCTTATTTTTGCATGCGCAGAGATGAATGTGGGTTTTGATGACCTCTACCTGGTGGAGCTTCCAGACACATTTTACGAAGATGTCAAACTCAGAGATAGCCGCTTGACCTGCACCGACGCAGTCCGAACACGATACGTGCAAGAGTTCAACGCGGATGAGGTCCACCGATACTGCGATTTCGACCACTACGTGTACTATGCTGCCACGGACAAGGCTCTCGCGACGTTTGTGCTGCCTTGCAGAAGCTGTACGCATGTTCTGGTTACGAATGGGGACAACGGTTACGCCCCTTCCTTTTTGCAGGAGACGGTACGGCAGTCGGCTGACCTGGCCATCGTGGGGTTTACACACCGGAATCAAGCCCAGACCCCGGTCCTGGGAGTCGGAGGTTTGGATTTGGGTGCTGTTTTGATGCGTGTAGGGGTATTGGACCACGGAAGGAGACTTTTCTTGAGCTCTTTGCCTGTCGATGCTGGGCCGAAGGAGGTGCACGATGCAGACTATTGGATGGTGGTCAACGCCTTGGAGCGGGGCTTGAGCTTTGCCGTGTGCAAAAACCAGCTCCTCATGTATCACAACTGACTGATGCTCGAGCCGCGATTGGGAAGAATTACAACACCGTCGAGACTTCCTGTAAGCCAGGTTATTGTGGCGGATTAATTCTCTCCGGAGTTCTAGGGAGGAATCTAAAGCAATTTTGTATCCAATTGTATAGTTTCATTTTGGAGCCACGGATCCTCGTGTATCCCTTGACAAGTGTTTGTTCTGAGAAAACTGACACGTCCCCAAAATCGACGCGATTTGCTCGATATGAATTCTCTACCTGAGTTGTCGAGCAATGTATAACATGCAAGTTAAGGTTAATAAATATTTAAATTCTGATTTTTCAGCAGACTGAATTCAGATCTTGGGATTCATCGCTTGAATTCCTAATTTTTTAATGCCGTGTGTATTTTGTCGTGGTGGACTGAAATGGATACGTTGTTCTGGTACTCCTTTTGACCTTCTCCCGCTAACATTCCCATATCGCGATATGCAAAACTTTATATAGCATAAAGATTAGAAAAGGTAATAATCATGTATCGCGATATGCAAATTTACGATACCCGGAAGGTTCCTGAATGTTTACCCGCACCATGCATGAGTTAACTGATTATGTCTCCCCTTCTCCTACAAATGAAGGACTGCGTTTAATCACAATGGAGTGATACGGCGGTTTGCACGTTTCCGGTACCCGGCCGATGATTGTGTTCGTCAGGAAAAGGAAACGGCTGTGCAGCTCCTAAAAGTGCGTCACATTTTACTCCCCTTTGCGCGGCAGCCACATAATGAGTCGGCGCTTCGTTCCCGTGCGGGAAACGTACGCATCGGGTCGTGGACCATGGAAAATATCCCGTCTCATTTTCTCAAGCATTGCCAGTTCTCCTGAAAAACTCTCAACCTCCCCCCCGCGCCGACGAGGGAGACGGAGACAACCTGAGTGCGATGGAGGTCCTCTGAACGAAGCTCTGGTCGCGACTTTCCCAGGTGGATGGTCAGATGTCCGGGAGGAGATCAAAAAGCATGCGGAAAGCTTGGGGTTCGCCCGTGCACGAGTGACCACGCCGGAGCCGTCGAGTCGCTTTGAGCAATACAAAGCCTGGATCGAGGAAGGAAAGCATGGAGAAATGGGTTATTTGGCTCGGGAGGACCGTTTGGCTCGACGCGCTGATTTGGATCTGATTTTACCAGGATTGCAAGCCGTCATTTGTACAATGACGCTGTATTGGCCCGGCAAGAAAGGCTTTCCTCCGGCATCGTCCATGCACGCCGCGCCTTCCTCCACTACATTGGGCCCGTCACCCGTCCGCCCGGGTCACACTGCCTCTAAGAAGCGTGGGGTCATCAGTTGCTACTCGTGGGGCGAGGACTACCACAACATTATCACCCCTCGTCTGAAGGCGCTGGCTGAATGGATGCATACTCGTTACGGGGGCCGTGGGCGATGGTACGTGGACACTGGCCCGTTAATGGAACGGGATCTGGGGGAGCGTGCAGGTTTAGGCTTTGTGGGAAAGAACACGTTGTTGATCAACGAGCACCTTGGGAGCGGAACGTTTCTCGCTGAGCTCTTAACAACGCTGCCGCTACCGCCCGAAACTCCCCGAAAAAAGTCGGGGGGATGCGGAAAATGCCGACGCTGCATCTCCGCCTGTCCCACGCAAGCCATTCATAAAGATGGGTACTCTATCGATGCGAGGCGGTGCATCTCGTACCTGACGATCGAGAACAAAGGGAGTATCCCCATCGAGTTGCGGCCCTCCATGAAGAATTTAGTGTACGGTTGTGATATTTGTCAGCAAGTCTGCCCTTGGAACCGGTGGTCTTGGCCGGACAACCAACCCAAAACACTTTTCAGTCCCTCCGCCCCGTCTTCTCCCTCCACCCCTCCTTTCCTCCCTCCTTCCGCGTCCTCCCTGGAACTCAGCACCCCGGTATTGGCGGACTTGTTGCGAGCCTTAAAGTCTGACGCGGGTTTTATGAAATGGTTTACAGGGTCACCTATCACACGGATTGGGAGGGCCAGAATGCTGCGGAATGTGGCGGTGGCGGCGGGTAACAGTGGGGAAGGCGGAGGAAGAGAGGGGGAGGAAGGGGAGGACGGGGAAGAATTGCTGGCGGTGTTGAGGGAGGTGTGGGAGGAGGAAAACGATGAGATGGTGAAGGAGCATCTGTCCTGGGCGATTCAACGTTTGGAAGGGGAGGTTGAGAGCGAGGAGGCAGTTAGGGAAGCGGGGCGGTGAACGAGTCTGTTCCACCGCCTGGTGCCAAGAAAGGGAGGACAACCGTGGGAAAAGACACGTGGACAGTAGGGATTGGCTAGAGTCCACATTGTAAATTGCGCAAAAAGCACATGAAAACTGGGGGGAGCGAAGGAAGCAATTGCTTGCTACGGGGTAGTTGTGGAGTGGCAAAGAGACGTCATCTTGCCTGCCTTTAAACCGTGGTATGGGGTTCTCGACTCATGTATTGGCTTTTTTTTGGCAGGACATCATCCTCGTGTCCGCCCGCTGCCTCTCCCTTGGTTTCTCATACCAGTACCCCCTTGCCTCCTCCTTTCCCGCCTTACCTTGTCCAGAAATACACAAATCCCGCATACAGTGCAAAGAAAAGAGGATTATACACGGAGGCGGGCACGAGGATCACCACCTGAAAGAGGACACCGTAACTGAGCATGCAGACGAGCACTAGGGCTGTGGCTTGATAGATTGGCCACACGGCGATCGTCAAAGAGACGAGGGTCACCAGTAGGGAGACGAGGAGAGCATGGGTGACCCGCCGTGCCTCAGGGTAGTCTACCTGCTTACCCAGCACAGCCCCCACGTACACGTCGAGGTAAGCCCACAGGAGGACAAAAATGGAACTGAAACATGTACCAGATTGAAGATGGGGGGTGGTTGCTAGAAAGGTCAGAATGTTCGGAGACGCTTAAGATTATAGAACCTCCCCAACGGATGGTCTCCTTCCTTCCTGAAAAATGTTTCAAGACTTCAAGTATCTCTCCTCCACATACTCTATAATTTGTGCTTGTGCTAGAAATCTTCATGTTTTCCATTCTCACCTTGCCGCGACGCTGACAGCGAGAGCCGCGCCTCCCACTTTCTTGTTCCAGAGCAAATTTTCAACAAATTTTGCCTCTTTAAGTCCATAGACAGATACAGCAAGGACCAGCAAAGCCTTGAAATTCCGTCTCAAGGGACTGTCAAGCTCATAATCCAATCCCTGTACCGTTGATTCCCCATGGAGTGGTCGCTGCTCCTCCTGTTGGGATGTTGTCCTGTCTTCACGAGACCGACGCCGAGCCGCCTCGACGCCCGCAGACATGGCCTTCTCACCCAGTCGAGCTGCCAAAAATGTAGTTCTATACGCCCTGTAATGAATTACATGCAATGATTCCATGTTGAGGCGTCACAGTCCGTACAATTTTTTGATAATGGCCAAAATGCCATCGGGGGCAGGGGAGAAGACAAACCGAACGAAGCCTCCCCTGGTTTTCGGGCGAGTAAAGCATGTGTCGGGATGTCGTGACCGACACGGCCGCGAAAAATAGATGAATGAGGCTCTGGAAACAACATCCAATCCTCCATGTGAGCCTCTTTATCCCTGTGCCTCCGAGGTTCATGCTGTTGTCATACTGCGGGATTTCCTGCATGTCATGCAACCGCATGTCTCGGGCCTTCCCTCTCGTCCTCCCTTCCTTGAAGTGGGTGTGGGCCGCTAGATCCTCGCAAACAAATTAAAGTAATGTAAAAGTTACACGGAGTCACGCCGCTGGCACCCTCTGACCAATCTCTCATCGTTCCAAAATGACAATGCATCTTTTTCAGGCTGGTTTCAAGGCTCTAACCTGGAAAGGCAAGGGCAGAAGAAGCGTTGGGCCGGGGGCCCATTTCGGCTGAGAAGTCAAGGCCATTACTATTGTAAGTCGCACTCTTCACGCGTTGCCATTCGCAGGTACCTTCTCTCACCCTCTCTTTCTTATGTAGGGTGCTGCTAACTTCAAGATTCACTAGCAAGCGTCGACATGGACGAGCACAACATAATTTTCTCTCAGCAGGATCCTAATGAGGTGTACGAACTGGTCGACTTGCTCGGAGAAGGTTCGTATGGCGCCGTCTATCGTGCACAGTACAAGGCAGACCCATCAAAGCCTCCCGTTGCCGTCAAAATTATCCCCGCGGAGGAAGATCTTTCCAGCTTGAAACGCGAAATCGCCATCCTAAATCAGTGCAAGAGCGAGTACGTGGTTGAGTTCAAGGACTGTTTCTTCGTGGACGCCGAGATTTGGATCATCATGGAGTTTTGCATGGGAGGATCTGTAGCCGACATGCTGGATGCTACCCAGCGCACGTTGTCGGAGCCCCAGATCCGTTCCATCTGCGCCTGTGCTGCCCTGGGTCTTGCCTACCTGCACGACAACCACAACATCCACCGAGACTTGAAAGCAGGCAACATCTTGCTCTCCATGAACGGAAAAGCCAAGCTTGCCGATTTCGGAGTCTCCGCGACCCTGAACCACAGCATGAGCAAACGGAAGACCGTCATCGGGACCCCGTATTGGATGGCCCCGGAAGTAATCCAAGAAATTTCCTACGACGGGAAAGCGGATGTCTGGTCCCTGGGGATCACGGCCATTGAAATGGCGGAAGGAATGCCACCGCACTTCAACGTGCATCCCATGCGGGCAATTTTCCTGATTCCGTCCAAGCCTCCCCCCCAACTCGCCCAGCGTTCTACCTCGGGCCAGTCCCCTTGGTCCCAGGAGTTCCATGACTTCCTCTCCGTTTGCCTTGTCAAGGATCCGAACCAGCGGGCCAATGCGGCCGCCCTCCTGACCCACCCTTTCTTGAAGGCCGACGTGGACTTCCTCCGCGCCCGCCCCGCCCAGGGTCTGGCCCCCATTGCGGACCTGGTGGGCTCTACCTTGGAAATTCTGGCGTCCTACCGTCGGAGCAGCATTGCCGCAGCTCCGACACCAATGGAAGAGCAGTTTGCCCGGACTCGCCCATTGGAGGAGGATGGGGAGGAGGAAAACGGAGGTACGGGGAAGGAGCATGGGAGCCGCGGTACATCCGGGTCGGTTGGCAGGTTGCGGGACGGCGGGGCGGGAGAGAATACGTTGGTCCGTGGCCCCATGATGGGCCGGCGCTTCAGTCATCGACAGAGCAGCGGCAGTGGCAGCAGCCATGCAGGGGGTAGGAGGATGCTCGAGGAGGGTCAGCCAGGGATAGAGGGGCGGAATCGGGACAACTGTGAGACACTGGTGGCCCGGACAAAGGTAGATGTGGAGGAGAAAGACGTCAAGGACGAGGATTGGGAGCAATTGCGCCTGTGGGACAGGCGGCAGCACCAAGGCGTAGTGCAGGAGCAGGAGGACCAGCACGGGAAAGCACGTTCGTCCATGGATATTTCCTGCACGGGAACTGTGGTGCGACATCGACCTTCCCCAGGGGCCGCCGGTCTGCGTAGAGGCAAGGAAGCAGAGGGAGGAGAAGATGCCACGTTGATGGTGGCGTCTGGCGCAGGCAGTCCCCGAGACATGCAAGGCCGTGGGGGACATCATGCCCCGGAGGCCAATTCTGGGTTGCAGTCCGCCATGCGGTATTTGCAAGGTCTGTCGTTGAGTCGAAGAAGCGGACGGTCGGCTACGCGCGAGAGGGAGAGTGCCTCTACCTCTGAGGAAAAGGGGTTGACCTCGGGGCAGGAGAGAGGCAGCAGAGCCACGGCCGATCAGAGAAAATCTACCAGCGAGACTTCCTTTCTCCGGAAAAGTGCGGTACCTAACAATGGCAATTCGAATTATCACGACTGTAAAATGCGTGACGTGGCTGAGATGACTCGTGAAGAGTTGCAAGCCATGATCCGAGCCCTTGAGAGTCAGTACGACATGGATGCCACGGCTTTGGAGGAGGCTTACACATATCAGAAAAAGTATCTTGAAGACGCCTTACGACGGTGTAGATGACTTGGTACGAAAGAATTTGTAAGAGGACCCCCGTGTAAAATGTAATACGACATCAACTAAGTTGGAAAATGTGTTTTCATGCTGATCGACGAGCCTCTGAGGTATCCTATTAAAAAGTGTACCTGAGGCATGGACGATGGAAATTTAAAAAAAATTGTTCGAGAAAAGCTAGCGACGTGACGTTTATTTCCCGTGATAATGAATTACTTCTGTGACCATGTCATATGAAAGTCGCTTTTGGCAGCCAAGGCGCAGGGAGTGGGGAGGTTAAACCTTCGATTTCGAGGGTTTGTTCACGAAAGAGGGCATGCACAGCTTTTATTGCGTAAGACGGAGGTAAAATGGTATGAGATACCTGACAAATTTCAATGTCGCATGCCATAGAGTTCACAGGATTTGACTTCTACGTCTCTGCCACACACACCCCGTACAGGAAGGAGTTTATCGGGTCGGATGATTTGAGCCGCCAGAAGTGATGGCATTTACAGACTTAAGTGCGCCATCCACGAAAACCAAAGTCAAGTAAGTTACTCAACGAGGTTTTTGTTGAGACTGTTAGACATCATTTCTTGATTTCCTCGTTCTTCATTTTACTGTAGCTTTTCCTCTTTACTCACACGAACAAAAACTTGATATTAGAGTTTCATCAGTCTTGCATCGCAACGTGAGGGAGTTTGGTGCAGCACATATGTTCGATGGTAGCTCGGATAGTTGCTGGAATTCAGATCAGGTCCGTGGCGGTATCAGCATCGAGTATTTAAGTGACTATTTGATAAGTTCGCAAGGGGGCCATACTATTACCTTCCAAGGCCCCTACACAGAGGCGCTCCCTCTCCGGATGGGTTTGGGACTTCAGAAATATAATCAATTTTGCATTTAGGAGGCGTTTGAACACAAAAGTTGCATCCTCATTTCCTTTCCCATTTGACAGGGAACACCACAATGGATTGTGCTTCGTTTCCTGCGACCAGTCCTTGTATGCCGGTTGCTGCTCATGTTTCAAGGCGGTTTCGCCGGCAAAGAAATGCAAGTGAGAGTCACATTTCATACTCCACCCCTCTCTCGCGCCCCTCTTCCCGCCTCCTCTCCCATTGCGCCTTCCGCTGACGCGGCCGCGACTCCCTGTGAACACGAGCACACCAGTCCACCGCCGTCAAAGCCCCGGACGTCGGTGGTAAACGGGAAGGATTCCTCCACAACCCTACAGATGAAAAGTCGCCCCATGCTGGTGGGGACGTTTTACCCCGATGACGACAACAAATCACAGTCCTTTGAACTGACCGCGGCCATCAGGGCAGCTGCACAAGAACGAGAAGCATCGGTGCGAGGGGCAGAACGTGACGAAGATATCAGGACATATCATCATGACAGAGGCCCCGAAGAAGGCGAGGAAGGGTTTGACTGTATGTGTAAGGTGGTGGAAATGAAGCTGACTTTTAACGGCAGCTCGGACTTTTACGGTCGCGTGACGCTCTATCGCTTGGCTGTCTGGGGCCTTGAGGAGGACCAAGCGACGTAGCATGAAAGCAAAAATTTGATTGAAATGATTGGGATGGCTTGGACTTGGCGTACTCTCCTCGCCTCCCCTCGAGCGACATAATTAGAGAGGATGGTGAAGGAAAGTGTACACTGTCGGCGATAATAAGATATCAACTGAGAAACCCGCCTCTTATTCACAATTCGTCATCATTATGCTTTCTTATCCCTTCCAATGGTGTGCACAAAATGCACATTACCTGTCCTTTTGCCCTGTCATCGCCATGCTCAGGCGTCCTGTCCGCACGCCGGTATCAGGACCATCTACACGCGCAAGCCACGCTCCCACGACCCCACACGCATCCTCTATATAGAGATTCATTCAGCTTTCCGCGATGTGCCCACAAGACTGGCACTTGCTCGACCTCAGGCTTCTTCCTGGCCCTTTACCCTGACGGCCACTTTACATATATACAGTGACACAAACATCATACATTTCCCATGGGCCTCCCACACGTTATCACTATTCACCCTCTTCGAGCCTCCCGTGGGGCCATTCGAACCTCGTGGAAGGGCGATATGGGACCCCCCCCATGGGAATCATTCAAATTCCACAGAGTACGAAGTACCCTTTGGTCAAACACCCTCTCCCTTTCCGTCACCCACGTGCTCCTAATGAGCACCGCTATTCAACCGCTATGGCGGACTGCATTTTTCCTCTGCGCCATATCTCCTGCACACGCCTCGTATCATCGCTTCCTAGGATGGTCGAGGCGGGAATGCCATATCTCCTACACACGCCTCGTATCATCGCTTCCTAGGATGGTCGAGGCTCCCGCCTGACCCTTACATCCGCCTCGATCCTTTCAATGTCCGCGTCCCCTCGGCTGCATCCCTCCCATTACCGTCTCCGACCAAACACTTACCGCGATCCTCCCACACTACATTTTCTCGCCCG